GCCGCGCCGCCTGCTGCGCGGGGCGTCGGGCCGAGGGCGCCGGCCGAAAGCGGGCGGTGCTGAGACCTCGTCAGAGGCGTCAGCGCGGAAAACGGGGTTTCGAAGAAAGCTGTTTCGGCAGCCAGTGTTCTTTCCACTGGAAATCGTCCTTTAGGAGTCCTGACGGTGAAAGAAGGGAGTCTCCTTCAGCGGCAGACGTGGTTCTCTGAGCTTATTTGTGGAAGCGCTGTTCTAAGGTCGGCCATACTTCTTAGCCTGACTTTCGGCGTCTCTGATGTCGTGCTACGCGCCTCCATGCTGTGGCAGAGGTGTTGGAATTGGGAAGACGAGTTTTACGGGACTCATAGGTTCAATAAGCAGAGCCTTTTTCCTTTGGAAATTTTCAGAGTACTGTAAAGATACAGTTGAGATGAAAAAGAAATGTAACGAACTAGAAAAGTACGTTCCTGTACATGGGAGAGGCAAGTAATAAAGCAGCTCTGAAAATGCAGCACAAGTACTTGATCTGAATGAAAAGAAAGTGCAGCCACAGGGAGCTAAGAAACAATGTGGAAACAGTTGGTTTCATTCAAGGATAGGAGATTTTAAGGTGGTGTTCTGATCTTGTGCAGTGTTTCCTAACAAACAGGCTAACTTTTGCTTGGACTGACCTTGGACATTAAAACACAAGAAAATAACCAATGCTTCCCAGTATTACGTTGGCAAAATATTCTTTTTCGGTAGTGCTATTACTTACTCTGATTTGTGGCCCCCTACTTGCAATTCTGACTATTACAGAAGTCATGTTTAACTTTCTTGGAAGGGATATAGCTTAATTCTACGTCTCAGAGCAGCAGTGATGACTGTTACACACCAGTTTGCGCTGTCAGGCTTGTAATTAAAGGAGTGTAACTGATACAGTTCGTTGCTATGGATAACTGAATTTGATCTCTTCTCCTTAGAAAAGCAGTATTAGGAAATTCTAGTACATGTTTGTGAACCTGTTTTCTCCTTTCTCATCAGTTCTGTGTTACCAAGCAGATGTCTGTTGTTTATAAATTAAAATGGCATGTTCTTACATACACATATCGATAAGCATTTTGTTTTGTGTACAGCCCCTCTCTGTTCTTGATAACTTCCATTGCAGAGCTACAGTAACTTACTTACGACGTTTATTTTTTTTTTCCTTTTTTTTTTTCCTGTCGGTGTGGAGCTGACAACTAAATAGCTAGATGAAAGACTTTGGAAAGGTATACAAAACTTGCATTAGTGGGAAACAGTTAATTACGTTTGAATGGAAAATGAGAATGGAAGTTACCTTTTTGTGTATTCTGTTACTATGGTCTTGGGAGAGAGAAGAAGCAGGGGAAGGAGAGGCGTGAATGACTGAAGGATACTAGATTTTATTGTCAACTCCGTTCTGCTCTACTACTTTCATAAGTGGAATCAGCACAAATCCTCGATGCTCAAAGTAGGGTAATATGCCTGTATAAACAGAACGCCTTGAAATTTTGAAAATGTGAATGGCAATTGAAACTAAGAAATAATGTGATTAGGTGATATCCCTAAAGCTTTGTGGCGCACAGAAACAAGTGTAATTGTCTTAATTACCTTTTTGTTTGTGACTTCAACAAGACAGGTTTATTGATGGATGCTTGAAACTTACGCGTACTTTAACATACTTTAGTTGAGCTAGTGCTGGAGGCAAATATATTTTATTTTTTTTTCCTACGAGTGGAAGCATCTCCTGCTTTCTGGAGAGATGAATTTAGTCAGATCTGTGAAAGAGGTATTTGTTTGCTTCATGATATAAAAACTTATAAAATGCATGTCACTTTTTTCCCTGACATATACGAGAATGGAAAGAGTTTCTACTGCATAAAATCAAGTTAATAATCTTTTGCAATTAGATAGCAAAATAATAATTCATGGCAATTAGATAGGAAGACATATGTGCCATTGTTTTATGTTTCAGAATATAGACCTGTGGCCATAATTTGGAAGTTATAAATAAATTTCTGAACAACTTTGTGAATACAGGCAGATTCTGAAAACAAAGTTTATTTTAAATACTCAGTATCTCAGTTTCTTAAGAAAAAAAAGACATGTAAGGATAAAAGAAAATATGGGGAAGTAACTGAGGTAGCTGCAGTGGAATAAGGCAGGCCCAGTTTAAGGAACACAAACTACAGAAGCAGAGGAACCTGCATTTTCTTGTTCTGTGTTTTGTGGTGCAGTTTACTTTTGCTGGAGCTTTTTGCTGATGTCTTTGTGGATTGTAGAGGTTGTTTGTAAAACAACACATGAATTTCAGGTGACAAATGCAAACCACACGGATGCCAGGCTTTGTTTGCTTAGCAGTCATGCAGAGCACTGTGCTGCTCTAGCTGAAATCACTTTTAAGATACATGCACCAGTTTTGATGAGAGTGTTTGTTCGTGTAATGGTTTAAAATGCTGACTTACGTGCTTGGGCAGGGATGAGGGCTATCTATGCTTGATAACTTTAGGGTTCTGTACTATAAAACAAATGCAGGATTTTAGGAATTGTATCTAATTTTTTTAACTGTGTAGGTACAGGCTTCTTAGAAACGAGTCTACCCGTACAGAAGAGTAGCAAAAGCAAGTGTGCAGGAATGATGGAGTCGCAGTGGGGACTTAAGAAGAGTCAAGCGCATTCGAATTCAGAAGTGATGTTTCTGATCTGCTGGCAGCTAATGGCTTAGGAGAACCTGTTGCTTGTTTCTGTATTGTGAGATATTTAGCTTCTCCACTCCCTTCAAGCTTCTGAGACTGTTTTCCTCCCTGTTCATAGGTGAAAATATTTTCAAAGCATGTCTGTAGCTGTTCACGCTGCAGTGAAGATACAAAAAATTCAGAATATTTGAGAAGTCTTCCTGTTCACTTGAATAAACTATTTTAGATGGGTTTTTTAAGAAGTTTCTTAAAAGCAATCACTTTTTTTTTTCACAGTTGCTTCTCATTAACATCTTGTTCTGCAACTTAACTTGTAAAAATGTCTTTTTGTGTTGAAATGACAAAAGCAAGATTCAGCTTGTTAATTGGCAGATTCAAGGCTTCAGAAGTAGATAGTTTGAGGGTGCTGCTTTACTTTGTGTTGTATTTATTGACTGTATGTGCTGTGCGTAGTTAATTAATCCATCTTAGCTTGATAACAAAATATGTTTTCTTTCATAGAGTGAAGATACACAGCAACAAATTATCAGAGAAACTTTCCATTTAGTATCAAAACGTGATGAAAATGTCTGTAATTTCCTAGAAGGTGGATTGTAAGTATCAAGTTTGAAGTAAATGCCCAATACTTATTGGCTAGCAAATATTTCTGCTGTTTGTAATTTAACTGTTTTTAGAATTGTCATATAAATGCCATATCACTTGAGATATTTTAATACACAAAGAATAGTTTCATGTTGCACCAGGTGTACATATTCTTTACTAACTGAAGCATAGAAGCATATATATATATGTGTGTGTGTGTCAAAATGAGTTAGGCAATAAAAGTAATTTTTTCTAGTGCTGTAACTGACACAGTGCTATATCTAGAGCTATAATTGTTTCAGATAGGTATCACCTGCCTGTTTCTTCCCCTACAAGTTTCTCTATAATCAAGCTGAAGATTTCTGGTCTCATTTGAAGATGCGTTAGTTTTTGCCATCCCCGATGGGAAAATTAAGTTTGCTTGCTTTGGCTTGAGCTCCTATAATTTGAGAGGATAGCCTCTGATAGTAGGATTCTTCCACCTTTTTATCAGGGTTCAGGCTTGCTATATAAACTAGCAAGAAAATTGTGGGTTCTAAATGTGCTAACTAGTGCAGTTTTAAACAAGATTTTTTATTAATATAGCTAGAGGAAGGTAGGAGAAAAGCCAGACTTGGGTCTTCTGTCTCTAGAAGACACACACAAAGTATTTTTTCTGGAATCATGTTGGTTGTTTTTGTTGTGGGGTTTTGGTTTTTTTTAATGTGGTCTTGCTTTAGTTGAGAAGAAATTCTGAAATGGAGAAGTATTTTTATTTTGAGATATTAGTCATCAAGGGTAAATAGTTACAAAGCCACTTTTTAGGAAAAAAGGTCATAATTCATGGAGTAAGCTCATGATTCCAGTTTAAACATGGAGATTGTCATAGCCTGTTAAATGCTGTAATTATGGAAATTTCTGATTACTGGAAGTTAGTACATTAATGCTTAAATTTTCTGTGTAGAGAGTCAGTTAAATACTTAGCTGTACCATGTTAGCTGTGATGTCTTTTTCCTGATCTAGATGATTCCTGATTTTTCTATTTTTTTTTATTTAATTATTTTTTAAACTAAAATCATTCTCTTCCAACTACTCAACTGGTGATTGTGTTGTTAGGTTCTTGGAGATGATTTCAAGCTGGAAATATGCTGGCTTGAATTCTGTAAGTGAAAGACAGAAGCCATTTGGAGGCTTTTTAAAAAATCATAGCTGTGCAACAAAAAGAAACTAAGACAGAGGATGCAATTCTGGCTTTACGCCTACTGCTCAATTCCAGAGTTACCATTTCATTATATGTTTTCAGGTTTGTTTTTTTTTTTCAGGACAGGGATCACTTTATAGTTGAGGCCCAAAGGTCTCAACAGTATTTGAAAGAATTGGGTGAATAAAGCACAAAAGAAGAAACTTTATTTGCTGTTTCTTTCCACTTTCACATTTGTTCACACTAGTTTTGACAAATCCTTCTTAAACATAGGGAACAAAGAGTTTCCCCTCCCCCAACCCAAGTGTTAATTCAAAGAAACGTGCTTAAGCAAAAGTGATCTAAAAGATTTCTTGTTCTTTTTTCTCTCCCTATAATAAAGGCAGAAACTAAAGGGATGAGTTATGATACACCAAACAGGTGATTCAGTTCTGGTACAGCATTAAGGGAGAATTGTGATGTTCATAGCCATGTAGGTTCGGGCTACAAAGTATTTTCATAGCTATTTGAGCAGGCCTCCTGCTCCTCAAAGCGAAGGTCCATGATCTGAAGAACATCTCATCTTATGATTTGTGTACATTCTTTGGGAAGGCTACAGTAGAAGAGTAGAAGGAAATACCTGTATAGACCTCTTCTCTTCTTGTTTAGTAACTTGATGGTTAGTGAGCCCATAGAAGTTTAATTGATTCTGTAACATTAACATTGCATCACAAACTATTGGTTGTAGTACAGCGTTCTTTCTCAAGATATCAAACGTTTTGTGGCATAAGATTATTAAATGTTCTTGGTTATTAAGTGGACCATAAACCAAATTCAAGGCTTTTTCTGTAATCCAAATGTCAGTCTGCATTACAGTTTTCTTTTTCTGTTGATGCTCCTCTGAGAAGGGCAGGGAAGGATTCGTAGGCATAAGCTGTGCTAAGCTGTAAAGCAGATTAATCCCTGGACAGTGCCCACGAGTGTGTAATGGAAGTACATTTAATACCCATTTTTTGATGAAACTGCATGATCTGTTTGATTTGATTTTAATAAAAAGGTGCATATGTTGATGTAGTTGTTATCCATATGGATATGTGGTAACTGTAACTCGGGCTGCCTTGGTACTTCGTATTCTCCCATTGTAATTATATCACAAAATAAAAGCTGTGATATAGTTGGATTTGGGAAGACTCCAGTCAGCCATTAACATTAGACCTCCTATTAACTGAAATAACTGCCAGGATTTGCCCATCTTATCCTGAGATGCTAACTAAGATTTCCTGTTTTCTTTCCTGTTTAGATTAATAGGTGGATCTGATAACAAACTGATTTACCGACACTATGCCACCTTGTATTTTGTCTTCTGCGTGGATTCTTCAGAAAGTGAGCTTGGCATTTTAGACCTCATACAAGTAAGTTCTTTTGCCGCTTTGTTTTTTTAATAAGTGAAACTTCACTTCTGAGTACCTTAGAACTTTACTATTTAGCTGTGTCTTTTCCTGCAACGTTTGGAATTGAAGGTGGCTTTCATACTGTGAACACATTCAGAGTGATGAGTATTACTTTCAGATTGTTTGCAGTTTTGTGGATTGTCTTTGAAAAAGTTGTTTCCCAAGTTAATGAGAAGTAACCAAACAGTTTGGAATGTGCTGAACAATCAGCAGGTATTTTTTGCTACAGCTTTTTAAGGCCTTGTTTTGGCTGCCGGTAAAAATGTTGCAGTTCAAACATCCAATAGACTCGTTTACATTATGAGAACCTTGTGTATATAAAGCTCTGTGTGTGTATGTATATCCACACACATACACACACACGTATTCACTACAAGTATACAGTGGATTAACATATCCAAAACCTTTCTGGATGAAACTTTCCTTGTGGCTTACGAGCTTTTGGGCAGATAAACCTTAGAAAATGAGTGCAAATGCTGCCCTAGGCATGTGTTCTGCAACGACGGGAGTGGGTGGGGAGAGGTGAGGAAAAAGAGAGCCAGAACAGGTTCTTTCTGGATATCAATAAGAAAGACTCAACAACAAAATGGCATAATAAGATAACTGGTTAATAAAAAAGAATAAGAAAAGGGATGTAGATAGTAAATCTTACACCCCTTCAGATGCTGGACGTCCTGTGTTCATGCAGCATCCAATGGAGCCGAGATGGATTTTCCCACAGTGAGCTGTGCAGAGCAGATCTTAGCCACAGAGAGAAGCTCTGCTTTTTTTTGAGTGTTGAGCTGTTATATAATTTCCTCACAGGAAGACAACTCTATTCCTAAAGGATGTTCTCAGGAGAAATTCTTGCTGCACTTTGAGGTACAGGCAAGGCCATGCAGGTGGCGTAAGCACTGGTACCAGATGGGAGCTGCCTGCAGGCTCCTCTGTTACAGTGAGCTGACTGAGTTTATCCTGCAGCCAAAGAATTTTTGCAGCACAACACAGGCCTGTGCCTACTCAGGTTAAGTGTTGTGTGGATCACTAACTCCTAAACATACAGTGGTCTCTTAGTCAGGATAAATGTGTTCCGCTCCTTGATCCATGTACAGTTTACCTTTCCCGAATACATTTTAAGTTGTAGATTACATTAACAAGATTCAGGCTTCTGAAGCCTAATAGAGCAGATGTGGTCTGTTCAAGATGGCTAGCTCCTTGAATATAGTGTCTTCTGCAAGGCTCCCAATACAGCATGTATGATTTAAACTGTGAAATATGTCTGCATGAACTCAGCAACAAAGGGTGACAAGAACACTCCTATGTCAAGAGAATGCTGACTACACCAGTGATTTTTCAACTTAAAATTTTTACATAAACAATTTCACTGGCAATTGTTAGTGTAGTCAGATGTGGCAAAAAATAGTTTCACACCATGAAGTGATGTATGTCATTACTTAAAGTGGGTCTGTGATATCTATATGTATGATTCACTTGCTGTTAAGCCGTTCAAAAGCTTGCACATCAAGAGAATTGATTTATTACGTAACTAAAATCTGTGGCATCCTGAGACATGGGCTGGTATCTATTGATTGTTTCAGTGAGCCTTAAAGGCCTCACAATTCCCTGCAGATCTTTCTTGAAGCTGAATAGCTTCTCATAGACACCTGTTAGTGTTCAGAACAGCCCTTCAGTGTTCAGTGCTCTTTTGGACAGTAGATCCAGATTGTCTTTCCAAGTGGCTGTGTGGGTAGCAGGGAAGGAAACTGTTTTTCTAGATTCTTATATATATCGTCTTTGGTCATGGAAACATTCTTCAATATCTGAACAGTGCAAGTTACTGACTGAGGAGGACAATGGACTTGAACTGTTTTTAGCAGTTTGTGGTACAGAGTTGCTTAGTTGCTTGTTACAAAAATATTTATAAACTGAGAAAAAAAGTGTGTTAATATTTCATGTGACTTAGGGATGTTTTTCAGGTAAAGTGAGTGTTATAAAATCTATGTTTAATCAGATAATAAGGATAGGATCCAGTTTGATCAGTCTGATCTGTTTTATTTTGCAGGACAACTATGCAAGTTCAACTAAAATTTTACTCATTATGTTATATTAAAAATGTCACATCAGTAGTTTCCTGTTATTTTCAGTTACACAGCGTAACCTGAATTTTACTTAAAGGTGTTGAAGCAAATTGCTTGAGCTTACCACTACCCGTATTTGTAAAGCCCTCAAACTTTCTCAAGTAGGGAGATCTTAATCTTTTTTCTAAATTGTGTTCCTTCTTGTGCCAGAAGTGTTTTGATGAATTTCAATCTCTCAATCTTTATATTTCACATCTTTTCCATTACGCCCTGATGTTTAATTACATGCCAGTATAATTACTTGAAGCAGAAATAATAGAAATGCTATTTCTATTTATAGAAATATTTTACTTTTTTCTGACCCGTATAATTGTGTTTGTAAATAGTCTCACCACAGTATCTGCAGCTGTTCAGTATTCCCATTTCTCTAGATCATCGTAATTCAACCATTTGATTATAGTAGAAAGTATACAGAGATTAATTAAACATATTTAATTTACAGTCTGGCTCACAAGAAGGATCTGTTTAATCCTCTTAGCTATAGCAATCAGAATTGAATGTGTCTTACACTGGAAAAGCATGCTCAGAAAGTTTATTAGTACATCTCAACCCCACGTGCAACACAGACTGGCAGTAGATACACATACATATCTAATGAAGCAAATAAGCTTTATCTGTTTTTTTGTTCAGAAGTGTTGAACCGTTTTCATACATTTTTGTTTACTATAGTTCAGAGACAGCACAGGTAAGAGTAAGCCATCTGGAGGTTGTTATGAGTCATACATATACCAAATTGTTTAAATAAGTAGTTATGTGGAGGGCCAGTTTATGATCTCATGAAAATAAGCTGGCAAAATGAACTAGAACTCAGTTTAGCACTTAAGGAGTTTTCTGTCTTGTAAACTGAATAAATCTGTAGTAGATCAGATTACATTTGGCAGTCTGCAGTTCTTTTCAGCATAACGTTTTGTTGTAATACTTAAGATGCTTCTGTGAAGTCCAACCATATCCCCATTAGGTCAGAGCTGTTTCACAGGTAAGTCTCCTTGGCCCAGGCTTAATGAGTGCACTATATGTGCAATGGTAGGCTCTGCCTCAGATTTTATATTGTGTTCAAACTAGATGCGTTGGAACACCTTAGGCAAATTCATACTGATAAGTTTTGTCCATTTTCTTTCTTTTTTTTAAGTACAAACACAAGATTCTGTTTATTATTTTTGATTAATCCAATGGGAAATAGGTCAGCATCTGTGCTATGCTTAGTAGGTCTTTTGAATTCAGCACAAATCGTGTCTTGAGTTGTAGCTGTTTCAGGCTCTTCTCATTAACCTGTCAAGTCTTGTGTTATAGCCCGTGGCAATAAAATACGTAAGAAAATACAACTAGCTGTAGACTGCCATCAGGAAAAATTGAGTGACGTTTACAATAGTACCTAACTACTTTATGAATCTAAAAGCCTATGTTAACTGTAAGCATTTTTGAGGATTTTAGCCCATTGCTATACTTCAAGACATGTTGACTCAGTAAGCAGCTAAATCTGTGAGATCAGTCTTCCATGAAAAGTTGTATATAGCCTTGCAGGGTGGTGTTGTTCAGTGAGAGGCATATGGGAAATGCAGTGTAGTCCACGAAGGATGTTTTTCTCAGTTCTTAAATCATCCTGACCAGAGATGCTTTTATGCTAATTAAATAAAAAAGGGAGAGACGTATGACTGGAATACCTGTTCTGGCAGAAAAATCCCTAACTAGTTCTCAGTTAACACTATTAGTTTGTTTTAGAGTTGGGTGGGAAGTAAAGGACAGGAATTAAGAACAAAAAGAACGTTTTGATCTAGAAAGCCTTATTGGTACTGCATTAAGTCTATTGGTAGGTCTGCTTGAAAGATGTGACATGCTTCTGTTTTGACTGATAGCAGGACTTGTACGATCTTTCCCTTACACTGTAATCTTGGCATTCTCTGTGTAATCTATAAGTAGTTATAAAAAGTACTGAAAGAAGGCTGGGATGTCAGTGTAAGTGTGGGAATACACAGTGGCTGCTCCAAGGAGATTTCTCCGTTAGAAATGCTGTGGAAACACTGTAGTTGATTTCATATGCTTGCAATGATATGTGAATGATGACTTGTTAAAGGTCACTCTTAAAGCAGAAGAGAAACCAGTCTTGTGCATGGAGAGCAGGCTATATGATCAGACTATTAATATAATTCTGAACTAATTGGAGTCTCAAGTACCATTTGAACAGTCAAAAGCAGTGAAGGAGAGGACTGTCCGTGGACAGATTGAGTTAATTCTATCTTGAGGTTTACCATTGCTGTTTGGCCTAGGAAGAAGGGTGGGATATTCTTGCTGTGAGTTACTCCTGTTGTTTTTACTTCATTTTTTGTGCCTGCTTCTGTTAGTATTTGACGTTATCTAGCATGACATGCATTTAATTCATTAGGTGTTCTGATTTTTCTACTAGCCTTGTTAACTTCCCAGTATTAATGTATGTTTTATTCGTTGGTCGTCTTATTTGCCTAATTAAAAAATGAGCCCTTCATGGTAAAGGTAGTGTTTTGTGTTTTGACATATTGCTGAGTATGGGGAGCACCTGGCTTGTATATATCCAGTAACAATTTGGTATTTTGATTCATGTAGTTTACTCTCCAGGTGTGTATCTGGCTTTATTAAAGCATATTTACTACCAAAAAAAAAAAGTGTGGGGTTTTTCCTTTTATCTTTTTTTTTTTTTCTGCTTACTTGCATGGAGATGGGCATGGGTTTTTCTTTGATTTGTAGAAGGCTGTTTAAAAAATGAAGCACAAGGGGGAGCTAGTAATTCATTGTGCATGCATCCTTTTTCTTCCTATTTGACTCATTTATTTTCCAATAACATCACAAAGTGTGTTTGACCTGGGGGCAGGGGGGGGTGTGGGGGCAGGGGGGGGTGGGTGGGTGAGGAGGAGGGTGTGTGTGTGTGTCCCAAAACAATTGGTGTGTTTTCCCTTCTGGTTATTTTGATCTACAAGTCTGCTTGCCATATAGTGCAATTCATTTGACTGTCAAATAAAATTATTATGAAAGTGGCTTGAATTTCATTTACCATATGGATTATTTGAAAGTGTCTTAGAATAGGTCAAGGAATATTAGTGTAAAAAATCTAATTTACCTTGTAGACTAATACTTTTAAAGACCAGTTATTTGTCGTAAATGTATAGTTTTTCATTGCTGGCATTACTCTGAGTGAACTTTCCATCATGAATGGAAGATTTAAGAAGTTTCCAAAGTTTCAATGAGAAATCCTTAGCCAGTGGAAAATGTCTCTGAAGAATCATAGAATCATAGAATCGTTAGG